AACCGCCAACACTTTTTCATACAATTTTATACCTAAATTTCAAAATGTTGGCATAGGTTGAATGAACCGCCAACACTTTTTCATACAATTTTATACCTAAATTTCAAAATGTTGGCATAGGTTGAATGAACCGCCAACACTTTTTCATACAATTTTATACCTAAATTTCAAAATGTTGGCATAGGTTGAATGAACCATCAATACAAAATAGTACAATAACATCTGCTGAAACACAACAAACTTCTAGGTATATATATATTAACACTGCAAATTTCAAATTGACCATGTATGTAAAAGCATAAGTTTTTGTATTACACGGTTATTCATAATAAATAAATAATTAGACATTAATTAGAAAGTTATTTTATCATGTTTATTGTGCTTATATTCTGTCCATGTTCATTTTTTGTTGCTCAATAGGGTTGCATTGTAATGAAGGTGCCATGGAAATCAAAGAATTGTAAAGATTAAAAAAAGAGCTACCAGGTTTATACTTGATGCACCAATACTAAGACCTATTTTAAATGTATTTAAAGAGCAAAAATGGTTAATTTTCAAATCTAGGATTTATTATCAAAAGTTGATATTTGTTCATAAAATTCTCAAAAATAATGCGCCTGTTGTCCAAAAATAAACCTACACAGCAGACATTTAATATCTTATTTACCTAGCTGTGATGAGGCCTAATAAAAATTCGATGAAAGAATCATTCACATGTAGTTCCTCAATGCTTCGGAATAAATTACCATATGAAAAAATCGTTCCCTCAGGTTTCATTTATTACCTTGATTTATCTCTTTCTTATCGATTTATTAGATATTAACATCGGTCAACTATACTATCGCCTTAATTTGATGGAAGTAAAATTAAGTGATGGTTCCTTATGTAACAATCAAAATGTAGTAATAGATACATGAAAGAATAGTTTTTGTAATATGTTAAACCAAAATCATAGTAATATTAGCTTAAATTCAAACCAGGTTATTTTGATTAGTTTTTAGATAATGTAATTACAATAGATGAGGTTTATAATGTTTTAAATTTATAAAAAAAATGGCAAATTCCCTGGGATAGATGATATTCAAGTTGAACTGGTTAAAAATAATACTGCTATAATGCATTGACACGTATTTTTAATATTTGTTATGATTCTGGTAAAATTCCATCTTCGTGGAGTAAGGGTATGATAACGCCAATTCCAAAGTCGCCCAAAGTCGCCCACTTCTGACCCACATGATCGTATGTCATACAGGAGAATAACTTTAGCCCCGTCATCAAATAAACTTTATTGTGGAGTACTTAATGCTAGACTTCCTTGTAAGCTTGGTGATTTAGATTGTTTAAATGAAGAACAGAATGGTTTTAGAAAAGACCGTAGCACTTTTGACCATTTGTATATATTAACAACTATAACTGAAAGCAGAAAATTAAGAAAGCTTTCTACTGTTTGTGCATTTATAGACTTTTAAAAAGACTAGTATGATTGGGTTAATAGAAGCTTATTGTTCACCAAACTTGAGTCATTGGGTATTAGTTCGAAAATGTTAAGAGCGTTACATGCTATTTATAATAATGTACAGTCATGTGTTAAAATAAATGGCCATCTGACAGAATGGTTCAATGTAAAGTCAGGATTAAAGCAAGGGTGCATTTTATCACCTCTTTTGTTCAATATTTTTATTAATGATCTTATAGATGAGGTCAAGAGGTTAAATGTTGGCATAAAACTTGATGACGATATTATTTCTGTACTTCTATATGCAGATGACATTGTATTTATGTGTGATAATGAAAAAGATTTACAAAAAATATTAGACATTTTAAGTCAGTGGTGTAACACTAATGATCTTGTAAATTTAAGCAAGTCAAAGATTGTTCATTTTAGACACCAGTCAGTACAAAGAACAAAATTTCAATTAATATTTAATTATCATATCATAGATATTGTAGAAAAATATACATATCTGGGGCTAGTGTTAAATGAATATTTGAATTATATAGATATGTCAAAAGCTGTTGCTATTAAAGTCTGCCAGTAGGGCATTAGGTTTGTTAATTGCCAAACTTAAAGTAAAGCTAATGGTGGTTTTGAGTTTTCAATTTTTACAAAACTTTTTGATACACTGGTTATGTCAGTTATTGAATATGGTGCCTCAATATGGGGAGCTAGGGAATTTACATGTATCAATGCAATTAAAAATAGAGCACTGCGATTTTTATAGGTGTTGGAAAATATACACAAAGTTTATCTTTATATGGAGATACGGGCTGGATGCCATGTATAATTAAAAAATGGTCATGTATTTTTAGTAATTGGTCAAGATTTTTGAAAATGAATAATACCAGACCAAAAATAAAAGTATTTTTATGGGCAAATAGAATATGAAACAGTAAAATTAAAAACTGGAATTTTAGAGTTCATAGTAAATTTAGAGAACTTGATATTGAAAATATTTTTGTAATATAAACTGTACGTTTAATAAAAATGATATTGAAAATATTGAGAATAATGTTTTTGATATTACAAGAGAAAATGGTGTAATGATTTAAACACAAATGATCGCAATAAATTGCGTACTTATAGGTTGTTTAAACAAGAATATCATAAAGAAAATTATTTAAGTGTTCATATGCCACGAAAATATAAAAGCGCCTTTGCTAAATTTTGATGTGGTGTGGCGCCAATTCGAATTGAAACAGGCAGATATGAAGGAGTTTTATTTGAAAATAGATTTTGTTTTAATGACTCATATATGCAACAGAAATTTATTGAAGATGAGAAACATGTTTTACTCAAATGCCCTTTATATTCACATGCAAGATAAGAGATATTTACTAGAGCAGTTTCTTTTAAAAGTGGTTTTTAGGCTTACTTGATAATGAACATTTATATTCTTATTTACAAATGAAAATTTGTGCTTTTATTCTGCCAAAATCTGCCATGATATTTTAATTTAAAGGAAGACTGTTTTATATAGATAAAAAAAAGTGTTTTTTATTTTTATCGATTTGTCCATTTCTATGTAAAAGTCGCTCATAACTCTTTTGAGAGTGGCTCTCGAATGTTTTTAAGATTGTTTTGTACTTTTAATTAAAACATGCTGTAGATATGGTATTCATGTTTTTATTGTACATGTAGAGAGGTGAGACTATAATAAAATATTTGATTTGATTTGATTTGATTTGATTTGATTTGATTTGATTTGATAAACAAAAATAGCTTTTAATGGAAACTGATATTTCTGTTCAAATTTCACGAATTTATTTAACAGTTTGGTATATAAATATTTTAAAAATATTTACCAGATATCTGTTTATAAAAAATCTGATATAAATATCTGGTTTATCTGGATTTCGCACCAACTGACCTCAAGTTTTGCTCTGTCGATACGTTTGATCCTCCTCAACAAATGAAAGACTTTCAAGTTCAATAGATAATGAAATTCTATATATAACTATCAGCTTTCGATTCATCATCACCCCTTACATTACTCATTCATATTTTGCGGGTTTTAGTAACACCATCTGTTTGAAACTGTCAAATAATTAAGGAGACACAGATATATTTCCAATGTGCATTAAATGAGGGTGTAAGACGTTCTATTTCGTGACGATATTGCGAAATTGTTAATCAGAAATGGCTGGAAATGAATCAACTTTCATAAAATAAAAAAATTCGTAAGGGTTCCGCGGAACCCAGTGTCTCGCCTACTTTTTCTGTTAATCGCAGGCTCAACAAAAATGAGGAAGTAAATCAATAAAAATATTCCTCTTGATACTATATTTTGATTGTAAGAAGCTTCTGTCCAAGTTTGGTAAAAATCCAGGATAGTTTATGAATCTAATAAATGTTTAAAAACTTTAACTGCAGACTGAATGTAATGTTAACTGGAAGAAAAAAAAAAAAATCCTTCTAGATACAAACATTTGACCATAAACAAGCTTCTGTCCACGTTTGGTACAAATCCAAAATAGTATAAGAAAGTTATTAAAATTTTAAAAAATTTAACCACAGAGTGAATGTGTTGTTTCCTGGCAGAAAATCTAAGTCCATTTAAAAGTAAAATACTGAAAAAATGGATTTATTTTTTTACAAAATTTCCTTCTAGATACTAGCTTTTGATCATAAACAAGCTTCTGTCCAAGTTTGGTACAAATCCAAAATAGTATAAGAAAGTTATTAAAATTTTAAAAACTTTAACCACAGAGTGAATGTGTTGTTTCCTGGCAGAAAATCTAAGTCCATTTAAAAGTAAAATAAGGAAAAAATCGATTTTTTTTTTTACAAAATTTACTTCTGAATACTATCTTATGATCATAAACAAGCTTCTGTCCAAGTTTGGTAGAAACCCAGGATAGTTTAAGAAAGTTATTAAAATTTTAAAAACTTTAACCACAGAGTGAATGTAATATTTCCCGGCAGAAAAACTAAGTCCATTTATAAGTAAAATACGGAAAAAATGGAATTTTATTTTTACAAAATTTACTTCTGGATACTATCTTATGATCATAAACAAGCTTCTGTCCAAGTTTGGTAGAAATCCAGGATAGTTTAAGAAAGTTATTAAAATTTCAAAAACTTTAACCACAGAGTGAATATTTGTGGACGCCGCCGACGACGACGACGACGACGCCGACGGAATGTAGGATCGCTATGTCTCGCTTTTTCGACTAAAGTCGAAGGCTCGACAAAAATCAATTAATTAACAATATGTTATCTTCATCTCACACTATCATCTGTATTTCCTAATATTAAACGCACCGCAAAAGTCCTTTTACAAGCTATTTTTATACATTACGCGCAATTACAAAACATGCATTTCTTTTCAGTTAATGGAACAGAAAATTGTGACGTAACGATGTGCACATGTAATCGTCATAGTTAATTTTCGTGGAATCTATTTGCAATAAATGTGTGTATCAAAACTGAACATAGACATTGCTATTAACAACATAGACTGGCCTGCTCTCCAGACACCAATAGTGCAAAACAATTACAATAAAAGTTCAACGGTAAATATTCCAAAAAGATAAAACAACTGGTAATTCCAATAAATGTTCTATACTAAATACAATGAATGTCACTGTAAAATGCACGGCGTCCGTACAGTTTGACCGCTGGTATCCAACTGACCATTTACATAGAAACAATATAAAAGGAATTGCGTAATCTTACTTAATCATATTAACAACATATAATAATGAAATTTGTCACGTAATGATATAAACAAATAATACAATTAAAAAGACATGTATATGATAACAAGAAAAGGACAATGCTAGGATTAAAATGGATTAACTTCTTAACATGTAAGCTAACAGTTTGGAGAACAATAGTCGCTTGCTTTTAGATAAAGTTTGAATTTACACGAAATAAAACAAAGAGAAAAATATCGCTGTCACACACCTCTCAACCAAATTATCAAGACCGGTATCACGTACCAATTAGTAATACTTCGAATGAATTATTAATTTATGCAATAACTCAAATTCAGATATACATTACATGGCTAAAAGTATTCGTCACCTGCATTTTTTGCTATCATATTTCATATAAAAACACATTTTTTCCAAAAAATATTTTGAAGACAATTTATGGTTGGATTTTTCCAAACAAGGTGTATTTGTTTATTTGATCATTGTTTTGTCTTCAGTTGTTTTTGTTTTCTCTTGATTTGAACACATATAATATTTTTTTACAATTTAAATTTTTTAAAACATATAACAAATTTCTGAACAGAAAAAAATATTTGTGTTTATCTCATGAGAATATGAAAGTGATCCACAACAAAAATACAACCAAATACACAAATAAGCCTGTGACAATTCTGCTTCTATTGGTACCTAGCTGCTAAAAATCAAACCAGAAATGACCCCAAAATATTGTTTTGAAAAAATGTAGTTTTGTATGAAATATATAGTGAAAAATCCCAAGTGCCGAATACTTATGGCCACACTCTGTTGTTATCTTGCAATTTTCCATTATCAGTTTAAGAAAATCATTTGATACCAAGGTAAGTATTTCACTCAAGGCATGGCTTTTATTAGTATATCAGCTCTTCAATTTTTTGAATTAAGTTAGTCTTTTTAAAATAAATTGGCCTCAATCATCCATGACTGAAGAAACATTCATGACCCAAATGCACATCTCGTACAGTAAAATTGGTATCGCTTAAAGTAATTCCTTCAGTCGCTAAACTGAGTTCGATCTATTTTTACAAGTATAGTTTTTTTTTCGAAACAGCATTTCCGGAAATATTCTCACAGAAATGTCGCTGTGCACTCGCCCGTAATGACGGTCAATATCTGCATTTTAATACATAACCGTAGTTAAAACGAACCTTGACATGGTTGGAAGCAAAGTTACTCGGGTGAAAACGTAGAGAACCAGAGAAATTTTCTCTTCGTTTTAAATAGAACAGTTAAAAAAGCGAAGGAAGCAAACATGATAAGAAAATTAAGTAAGATAGAAATATTTGTTAGTTTTATTATTATGTATTATCCAAACTCGTCTTTGATTTTTCATCAATTTCAACAGCTATTTCCACTTCCATTTTCGAATGCATCTGTAAAGATAAAAGCAAAATTATCAAATCAATAAATATAGGTAAAGTTCTTTGCTTATAATTTAGACGTAAAGCTAAACAGTGTCAATGCATACGAGAGCTAAGTTTAATTCTAATGCAACATCGTTTGTAACGTTCATTTTGATTGGATAACGTTACCAATTTCATGGCATCAATTCACTAACGCGTCACCAGTAAACTTAATTTGCGACCATCAGATCACCGATTGGTGCCGTCGGAGCTTAAAATACAATACAGTTATCTCCTAAATGTCACTTTGTTATATTTCGCCTCTCTTTTACGTTAATTAACATGGTACATGAGGATTTTACACTATTTCATCGTGCTAATTCAATCCTTACCACAGTTTGTCATAGAAAAAGCCTTGGTAATTTGAAGTGGCATGGCTTTATTGTTGTTGTTGTAAAGCCAATCTAAATGTTAATTATATCTACAACAAGAGATACAAGGTGAAAATACCATAATATTTGGACTTATATCCTGCCATGGTGAAATACCAATACTTGTAGTAATATTATACATGATAAACGATGATTTGGTGAATAAGTATGTTCAATAGCAGCTACAAAAAAAACCAAAATCACTATACGTTACCTCTTTGCCAGCCGCCTGTCTTTTATAATTTGGTCTGATAAATGCTGCAATTAATTAGATGAATAAATCTACCATGATAAGTGAACAAAAATATTTTCATTGCAAAATGTTATTGTGTTGAAAAGATTGATTAAAGGCCTTGTTAGTATTTAAACTGCTTCATTTATACTTCATTGTTATTCATTCGTGCAATTTGTGTCGTCTGGCGTATCAAATTATGAACCTGTCATCTTTGGTAAGTTTTTTTTACAAATGTGGAATGTAACACACAATTTATTCCTATCTAATTTATTAAATTTGTCTAAACACATTTATTTGTTTTTTATTCGTTTGATGTGTTTCAGCTTTTGATATTGCCATTTGATACGGGACTTTCCATTTTGAATTTTCCTTGGAGTTCGGTATTTTTGCTATTTTACTTTTTTTATTGAATTTTCTAGTTGAAACTTCTCTCATTTGTATCCTCAAAATCTATTATTGTGTTAACAGTTCGTAAAATATTAGAAACTTTCCTATAAAAAAAGATAATTTAAATTCCGAAAGTTTTGTGATGATCTTATTGTTGAGAAAATTGCAATGGAGTAAATTTTTAAAAAAAAATCTAGCATTTTAAATTCTGATAGCATTACTTGTATACAGCATTTCCTGAATGTGCAATAATTAATATCCCATTTGTCTCCATTGTTCAAAAATCGCAATAATTAATATCCCATTTGTCTCCATTGTTCAAAACTCGCAATAATTAATACCCCATTTGTCTCCATTGTTCAAAAGTCGCAATAATTAATATCCCATTTGTCTCCATTGTTCAAAAATTGCAATAATTAATATCACATTTGTCTCCATTGTTCAAAAATCGCAAAAATTCTTAATTTACAGTATTCTATGACTACAAAAGGAAACGTCAAGTAAACAGCATCCCAGCGACATAAAACCAACCAAAACACATACAGTACATCGATCCTTACTTTGAAAAGGGTACTTTTTTCGTTTTTAATGAGAGAAGATGACTCAGTGTAGGATTTAATGTTCTAGTTCCTCGTTTCTGTGAAATGTTGTAAAGGGCTAAAAACTTCTGTTCATTTTTTTTATGTCCAATCAATGTTCACGAGACCTATTGTTGATTTTATATTTTATAGGGTTTCAATGAAATATTTTATTTGACTTAAATTTTAAATTATATTGTTTTATCCGAAGCACTGTGATAATGTTGATAAAGGGCCAGTAAACTTGTTTTGCGTTTGTATGACAGATTGTGATGCTCAGTATCGTTAACCCATTTAATATTAGCACTTCTTGTGTGATTACCTGGCATATGATGGCAGTCATATGCATGAAGGATGGATTAAGATGAAAAAGTTTGGAGAGGATATCACTCAAATAGGAACTTTAAATAAATATTTTCAAATGGAATAATGATTTTCAACTATCTGGAGACGCATGACCAAATTTCATTATAAAGCATTATTTTTAATAGCATTTAGCATGGTTATAAAAGATATCAAAGGGTTAATCAGAACTTATGAGTCGAAGAGAAACCAAAAAATACATGCCAATAAAACGAAAAACGACGAATGGATAAATAACGGTCTACAAAACACTATACTAGTATATATGTAAAATATTCGATTGTCGCCCATGAATGTATGACCAAAACGTTCTAAAGAAGGGGCGCGAAACCGATGCTTGGTGTTCCAACATAAAACTAAACTGTTTTTAAGTTACCGTTGGCAAATATTACTTCCCATAAGAACTGTAAACATCCCATAGGGAATTCCTTCAAGCTTTGTTTCCATTGGAAACCTTAAGATGTTATAGGTACCGGAAATCCCTATACTGGCATGGCATTGTCAGTTTGTTTTCGACTTACGAGTTTGAATATCCCTTTGGTATCTTTCGCCTCTCCTTTACTGAACACTTTTTAACCAAACTGGTTAAAGCTGGAATATGATTTCAAAACATTCCAATGGGACAGTTAGGTGACATGCCTTTTTAGTATGTAGCCCTGAATATGGATTGCTTGCTAGACGTTAATCATCGACACATTCATCGATCAATAAGAAAACGATTGTTCTTGTCGAACTCAGTGACTAACTCTATTTCGTACCTGATAGAACGGTTCCAACAAGTAATGCAGAGCACACAGTAATGTTGGCAGCAAATATACTGACGTTTGTCATCAATGCTCTCATCCCAATAGTCGATACAATTCCAATAATCTAAAGTTCAAAAGAAAATGAGTCTTCTACATAAGGAGATGCCTGTACCAAGTCAGGAATGTGACAGTTGTTTCTATTCGTTTGATGTGTTTGAGCTTTTTATTTTGGAGTTCGGTATTTTTGTTATTTTACTTTTTTTATACTTTCAAGTTAACGGTGCAGTCCGATGTATCCGCGCACCTTAGAATTTTGACTCACTTTGATAAGCTCCTAAAACCAACAATCGGGCAATATTGAGTGAACAAATTCATGACATACTTAATTTCATGAAATCTTCTTTTTGTATGGTTTCACCCTTAAGATTTATTGTAATGTGTGTCCAAAATTAGGGAAACCCCTGTTTTGACAATTCTTCAAATGTCTGTTGATTTCGCACATGCGTTCTAAAAATATCTTATTTTGAATACAGGAAAGATTTTCTACTACGAAATATAGTTCAGTTTGAGCAAAATTTATTTCATTTTGACAAAAAGTTTACTTAAAATGAAACCAATTTTATCTGATGATGTAAATTTTTTTTATGGAAAATGTCTATATATCTGGTTAATCATGGGATTGCAATTATCAATTCATGCTTGAACTTATCAATTTTAATCTTTTTCGTTCCTTTGAAAGACTAACACGATTACAACAACGATTCTATTTGTGTAATATTCCGGATATGACGAAATCCAGTAATGCACGATATAACAGTCTGCGCGAAACTAGGGGATTCCACTGTATTTGTCCAGTAGTGCTTCGAATGAGACAACAATTGAAGATAACATTTTGACCACAAGCTTTTGAAAATTAAAAGATTCAGGGAGCCTGTGACGCTCACCTAGTATCTATAAACAATATTGACTTATACCGTAAGACGTTTTAAAAAAACATGTTGCTTTATCAGCTGAGAGTTAATTAAAAATGCTGAACACCTATCCATGGTCTCCTATACCCATGGTTTGAAGTTGATCAGTCCCAAGTACACAACACCGAATAAAGAAGAACAAGGTAGATACTAATAGTCAAACTATACTCCACATCTCCAATAGTTCATCGTTTAACGGCGTTTCATAAAGTAAAGGATTATTTTATTATAGTTTCATTGCATGTATACAAAAAAAATGAAAAATGTGACTTAACGATACGCCATTGTTTGGATATTCATTGTTGGCACTTTATTGGTGTACGCTTTTGCAAATATTACCCAGAATGCATCAGATTCATTATGTGATCTTATGGTACTTTGGTTGTATTCAACGGAGTAAATAATAGCTCTTTTCGTTCCTTTTATTGTATGTAGAGTGTGACACTTTTTCAGTTGAAATACATAACTTCTAGTGAAGTTACTTTGTTGTCTTTTAGCCTTTCTATACTCATCACTACGATCTAGTAAGGGTCTCTTATCAGACTTAGTTGTACTGCATGTTTCAATTTGGTTAGTTACTAGTAAATAAGAAAATCAACCATTTATCCCTCAAAAATGGCGGCCAAGGGAACTAATTAAACTCAAATTATGTTCAAGTTTGAGCTTTCTAAAAAGCTCTGGACTGCTTCGCTCTATCCTAATTTAAGGAATATGTGTGCATGTGGTTGTTGATTTAGTATTGGAAATGGAAATGTGGTAATTTTAGATATTGACTGATATAAAATGGATGTCTTAGACTTGGAAAATCAATTTTTGTATACATATTAAGATGAACTTTTCTGAAATTTTAATCTGGCTGTTCATTGTTTAGTTGTCAATGTGTTTTTGTGGAGTGTGTTTTTCTAGTTCTTTCAGCTAGCTGGTCATTGACTTGCTATTTTGATTGCTAGTTCTGTATATAATTTATTTAGATATATATAAATGTTTAGGTATGTTGATTAAGAGTAACATGATTTCGAGTGATGAAGACAATAACAATCAAAACCAAGGAGTAAACAAAGACTTGTACAACAGTTAAAATAAATAAGAAACAGTAATAAATATTTAGTTTCAGTGAAAATGATGTTGTTCTACGTAAAGAGTGTGCATGATACACCCATGCTTTTAAAATTTGTTCACTTTACTTGTTGAAAATTAAAACATTTACAAATAGACACGACTCTGGTCCAATGTCTTCCTAGATTGGCAGAAGTTATAAAATACAGATAATGCATTTTTGTAAACATTGTAAAGGAACATTGTTTAGCAAAACAAATCATGCATATTGCAGATTAACAAAGCAAATAAACACGTATTAATAATTGATATTTCAATATTGAATTTCAGTGTGCAATATATGCATAATAAAACGAACATGAATTAATGACAGTTGATCGGAACTGAAATACACATATTTGATTTTCCGGTATTTGTTTTCTTATCCTGAGACGAGAAAAGTCTGTAATTCTGTATCCCATTTAAGCCAATAGCTGTTGCTGTATCTCAGCCGCATCATAAAGCAACCAATCAGAATCTATATGTGATAAGTAATTATTTCAAGATGGCGTGTATATCTACTGAAACTAATAGCTCCGCATCGTGATGCGAAGCAAGTATCGAAACCTGTCTATAGGTGAGTGAATAATTCTTCCAGACGCAGATATCAAGAGTTAACACTGTCGACGAGTTGAATAATGGGTAAAAGCCAATACTATATTGCATGTTGTAAATCGTCCATAAAGTAGGCTTTCAAGTTTATATTTGTTAATTCCAATTTAATAGTATTTCATTTAAGAATTGAACGCTTCTTTTTGTAAATTTATTGGGGTGTAAAAGCGTTGACCGAAGTACATTTTGTATGAAGCTTCATTTTAAAAATGTGCGCAGGTCAACGCTTTTACAAACTTATAAAATTACTAAAAGAAGTATTCAATACTTATACTTATATTTTTTGCTAGGATCATGAAAACACAATTTCCATCAAGTTTTTGTGTTATTTACCTGTGCACTTTATTGTGGAAGCTCGTGTCATCATGAATGTTACATTATATTCTAAAATGAAGGTTAATTTCAGAATGACGCAAGATTGCTGTTAGCCAATCAAAATAACGTATTATAATGAAACATACATGTAATGTAATTATGAAGAAAACAGATTCAGTAGCAATAGTGATAGGAGAGAGTTAACTTACTTCAGCCGCTAAATTTAACAACCCAGATGAAGTCCCTTCGCATTCAGGATATGTAACCTCAGCGGCTAACTGAAATCCTACAGGACGGTAGCCAGTTAGAAAAAACCTATAAAAAAGTTTAACTAAGAACTAACAAGCTGTGATGGTAGAATCTAAAGATAACAAATATTTTTACAAGTTTATATACAAAATTTTTTGCTGGATTTATTAAATATCAGTTTTAAACATTTTCGTTTGGGAGTTTTTTTCCTTTAATAATAATAATAAATAATATGACAATTTGAATCATCCATCGCCTCAAAATTTACCATTAAAGCTTAATCTCCAACTGATCTAAACGTTATGATATTTGGCTTAGATCTACCTGTTGTCGAGGCAATGTCCAAAAGTACTGACAAAGGATATTCGCATCTGAAATTCAAAATAATCACATTTTCATAAAAAAATGGTTTAAATAAAACGTTCATAATACATCAAACTCATAAAAAAAATATGAAAGATTTGTCCGTTTGGTTTTTTAGGGGTAATTTTTTTGCGTAAAAGTGTTTTTTGTTTTCATATGAAACCTATGAAAAATAACAAGAATTTCATAATAATTCACAAGAAGCCTATTTAAGATGAACGTTTCCAAAAATATTCAGAAATATTGAGGTAGTAAAAATAGTTTTATAAATAGCATAGGAAAGAGACAGGGGATGCAAAATATAATGGGGGCCTCGGTGGCCGAGTGGTCTAAGTAGTTACTACTGTAATCACTAGCCAGTCAACACTGAGGTTGTGAGTTCGAACCCCGCTCGTGCGGGTGCACTCGACTCCAATCTTAATTGACTAGGATTGTCAGTTTTCCTATCGAAGGTCGGTGGTTTTCTCCGGGCACTCCGGCTTCCTCCACCAATAAAAACTGGCCGCCACGAAATAGCCCAAAAGCGGTGCTTAAAAGTGGCGTTAAAACACCAAAAAACAAAAAAACAAACAAAATATAATGATAAAAGGGAGAGTAATAATACGTTATCAACGTAAGAATAACGTGAAAGGAAAATGTTAAGAAAAAAAACCCAATATAATCAGGCCATTGAAAAGTTTATTTTTCAAGGGCATCATATATATATATATACATATACAGGTCTAAATATGTGACAACTTTACAACAAACGTTAACCTATGCTTATACAATCGAGGGCTAACACCATAATTTGTATATACTTCGTCTGATATTTAGCCTAATATATATTAATGTTAGCCTCTGCAAATTTGCATTAACAAATTTTGTTCTTCCCTCAACGGGATTCGAATCCCAGCTTTTGTGACATCTGCAATATCACCTGTACTGTGGCCAGCGCCCTAGACCACACTCGACCAACTAGGCTATATATATTTGCAGAGTCTTCGACATTTAGCGAATTTATCTTAAGTATACTGCAATAGTATATTAAACGTAGGTCTATAACATAAATAGATTAGAAGAAACGCCAATGGTAAACCAGTACTAACAAAACATGCAAAATACTTGTGTACAATGTTTACTCACCAATGTTTACTCACCCAAGAAATCCAGCACACATATACACCAGCCACAAACGATGTAGTTTTAAGATAAATGTATACACAACCATTCCAATACAACTTATTAAATATATCCCGATTGTTGTTCCTCTGCAAAATTAAACATTGACTGTATGTAGTATAAAGCCGTCATTACAACGAACAAATGGAGATAGAAATAGTGAGGTCTCACCCGAACGACACGAAAACGGAAACCACGAACAAAAAGTACAAAAACAGACTAAATTCTTGGATTCGCACCCTGGGTATAATGATATATAATTCTTCGTTTTTATTTTGCTAGTTTGTCTTTCTTTTCGCAATACGCAGTAGTTCTAACAACTCAGCGCCCTTTATCGATCAGTAGCCTTTCATATAATGATATTACCGATAGTATACGTGAAAAGTTTGAATTGCAAGTAAAATTTATACACGTGTCCTCATTTTAATGTCTAATTCAATAGATTTCCCTTGTGTCGGTATCAGCTTCTTTTTATGATGTAAAAATTACTATACTTTTCAATTTTCTACCAAATTTTATTAAAACAGTATAAAAATAAAAGGAGGTATGGTATGATTGCCAATGAAACAAATAATAAGCATTGACTACAACAACAATCTGAACAATGACCGGCTATAATTTCCATTGTTTTTTATGACCGGGAACATATTTGTCGAACCCTGCGCTCCAGATCTGTTTCATATGACTACTAGTATTTGTTGTTGTTGACGACTTTCACCAAAATCTGTTTTGTTTACGCTTTATTAGAAAACCTCGACAAGAATCATTCTATTTCTTTTTCTCACTCTTTACCTCCCTACTTGCCAGTGTGTACCTATCATCTATTATAACTATACCTAACCAATTGCAGCTAAAATCTTGAATTACAAACACGTGTTGTAGGATCTCAATATATTGACGACTTCAAGTCTAAACCTCCTGATTGCACCTGTGCTATTACCCTATTCTTATATAATCAGACTGTCCACATTATTACTGGTGACCTGAACATTAATTTTGACTTTTCTACCCTTTAAACAAGTATTCCCAATTCCAAACTAAAAGACAAATTAAAAGAATCGACCCTATGTTGTTTCATTAAAAGAATGGCCAACGAAGATACAAATACCTCGTCTTAGAGAGGAATAAATCGTACTTTCTAAACAATCACTCTGATTTAAACAAATTATTCTCTGAAACTAATTAAAGATGCTTGATTTCTTGATTTGATTGACAACATATGTGTTAGTTTAGAGGACAAACTATCGACATTCCCATGAGAACCAACATTACCCTTCTTCTTGCCGACTTGTTCCTTGATTCCTATGATGCTGACTTCAAACATGAGCTTTTTATGAAGAATGAAAAGAACCTAGCTTTATCCTTTAACTTCTCGTTCCGCTATACAGATGACCTCCTCTCGCTAAATAATTCAAAGTTTGGTGACTATGTTGAACGCGTCTATCCCATCGAACTTAAAATGAAGGATACAGCAAGTACAGTTAAGTCTGCATCATATCTTGACTTCCATATAATAATTGACCATAAGGGTTGATTGAGAACAAAACTTTACGACAAAACTGGAAAAGAGATGATTTCAGCTTCCCTGATGTGAACTTTCCATTCCAGCAGCGCCTACATATGGAATATATATCTCCTAGTTGATACGATATTTCAGACTTGGATTTTTTTGTGATGATTTCCTTGAACGAGGATTGCTGCTTACAAGGAAGCTATTAAACAAAGAACTCCAAGTGGTGAAGTTGAAATCATCCCTTTGAAAATTTTACGGACGCCATCACTACTTGGTTGACCGTTATGGAATATCTTTTTCACAGATGACGACGGATATGATCCAATTGTTGTATACACTATTCCGTCCTCATTTCCGCGAATGTGACCCACCGAATTATACTTATCACCGGTTTTGTACTTACATTAGCAACACGACGTGTGCCACATGTGGAGCAGGACATTCTTACCATTCCAGAGCACATAAGATTGCTCTCGCTGTTTGGTGGGGTTCGTGTTGCTCAGTTTTTGATTTTGTATGTTATGTTTTGTATACTGTTGTTTGTGTTTTGATCGTTTTTTTTTTTGTTTGGTTTTTGCCATGTTATTGTCAGTTTGTTTTTTACTAATTAGTTTGAATGTCCCTTTGATATCTTTTGCCTCTCTTGTATGTATGGTTCAACATGAAACTACTTTCATCTTGTAAAAATACATCCGATTAATTTATGAATTTATGTAATTGAAGTGTTATTTCTTACAGTATTATGCAAAATTCTAAATGAAATGACAATGACGATAGGAAAATGCAAGTCTATCTGATAAGTTAGTTTTTGGGCAGTTATACAAATTTGGCTATAATTGAAAAATCCCGATCAAAGTTATACGCATATGTTTTAGTGGGAGGAAGGATATGTAAAACTCCCTTTTTAACGTTTGTATGTAGGAGTTGGAGGTGGACAAAACTAAAACTATGTTTTTTTGCCATCTTTCTACCTCTCAGTTGAAATTTAAAAATTTATTGAAAATTTTAACAGAAAACGATTTTTATGGGTTTCTAGGCTGTTATTAGTATTAAAATTCTAGTTACGTTGAGCGACTTCTTAAAATTATTTCTGTAGTCAATACATGTTTTGAATAAACTTACTTAAATGTTTTAGTCCGATCCAACCATAATCCAGATAATATAGAACCAACAACTCCTGATAAAATAATTGTGAGACCGATAAATCCTGCATCTTTCTGGTGACTCTGTAAAACAATGCATAGTGTTGTATTTAATTCAAACCTATAAAAAAATTGCATGCATTTAGGGAATACCAAATTTAAATGTATAGAAGCTACAACGTTTAAAAGCTACAGGTTAAGGTAGCTATACAACCAGGTTTCACCGACCATTTTCTTCGGAAAATGTCTGCATCAAGTCAGGAATATGGTAGTTGTTTTTCACTTGTACTATTGATTGATACCATTTGATTTTGTCAGTTTTTATGGACTTCCCCTTTTTAAATTTGTCTTGGAGCTCTGTATTTTTGTTATACTTTTATACCAGTGACCAGAACTTCATATTATTAAACCCAAATACCAATGAGTAACGAAGAAACATTTCGTCATTTGCTATATGAATATAGGATCATTACATCATGCCATCGAATGTCAACTTTGTGCAATCAATCCTTTTTTTGATAAATTTTGTTAAGATTTTGATTTTTTAATTTACTTTAAATATAATTCTTATATGATTTGCATATTAGGGAATACGTTTATATGATTGGTCGAGACGACTTCCGGTAGTGGCTCTTGACGTTGTTTATTTTTCGATAGACGACGTTGACCGAACTACTTTTTGTAACCAATGTAAACAAGATGGCGGCGATAATAACTCAATCCGGCTCGACGTTGAAAATATTTATTTTCACTTCGCGTTAATCGTTAAATTAAATAATAAACACAAAACATTCATTTGGATGATAATAAGATGTTTTGTAGTCTATTTTTTATCATTAAATAAATTTCACGGAGTACATATTTTTGCGTTCACCAACAAATATATTCATGCGCCAGGCCAATTCAATGACACAAATATACAATTTACGTGTGATAGAGGTTAGGAGTGTGGAAAAATAAATTCCGTATCTCCATTTTTTAAGAATTATAAGGATTAAACGCCTTTTTAAAGGAATTTATTGGTGTATAAACTGGACCAAGTAACTCACAAACATATCATAAAAGTCCTTTGGAACGCCAAAGCCAAAATAAATGAAAGTCAAGGATGTACAAGACCCGAAACTTCTGAAGAACTACCGGTATATGACCAAAAGGGGCCCTAAAATAATAGCCGAATTCTTCTAAGCTAAACTTTGTCTGAGGAATAATTACCTTGAAGTAAAACAATATGATTGGATTCAGTAAGGTTGATATGGCATATGAGCAACCCAAGTTCATTGCTGTAACATAGAAAGTGATATAATATCAAACATGCTCAACGAGTAAGTTAATAATAATAGACTTATTTGAAATATTGATAAATCAACAGAACATCAAAGAAAGTCGGAACATGCTCTTGGAACATGATTAAAAAAGAGTTTACTTTAGTCAAATAGTTCACAAGTAAATGTTTTGTATTATATTGAAACAATGGTTAGTACTAAAGTTGAAGCCATCCATTCGAAAATTGTAAGTGCGTGATTATGAGTTGGCTGGTTGTTATTGAATATCTGTGCTACAGATGACTACGGATACAGTCCAATAGTCGTAGCCACGCTCCCGTACCCTTTTCACGATTGTGACAATTTAACACCGACTTTGTACTTACCATTGGTGACATGACGGGTGTCACACATGAAACAGGATCTGCGTACCCGTCCGGAGCACATGAGACATCCCCGGTGTTAGTTGGGGTGTTTGTTGCTTAGTCTTTAGTTTCTTATGTAGTATTTTGTATACATTACAGTAGCTTGTCTTTTCGTATTTTTCGTTTATGCCATAATTTTGCCAGTTTCTCTTCAACTTGTGAGTTTTTTTTTTCTCTCTTTGGTATCTTCCACCTCCTTTTTTAATTATTCAACTATAAACGACAAATGAATATTAAAAAGCTAAAGAACTATTTAAAAAATGTATATATATACTAGTCAACAAAAGAAACGATACAAGGCAATCTATTTTCCATATATAATGAACTTGGATACACTGTACCAAGGTTAATAATTGCCCAATTGGTCTAATATTTACAGAGTATTATTTACTTATCAAAATCATTGATTTAAGGCAAATACGCGATTTTTTTTGTTTTTTGCAATTTTTGTTATTTCAAAAATCGTATTTTCACCCAAAAATTCAAAAATCGATATTAGAACTTAAAACTTTAAACTTAAACAGGGTCTGCTTAAATTTTTGAATGCCTTTGCAGATATTTGAAAACTTAATTCTCATCTTCGAAATTAAGTGCCGACTTTTGTCATCATTTTCCGCAAAATAAATTTGACCCCTGTGTTCAATAACACGGTATTTTCTCACTTTCCAATTTGGTCAGATTCTTTTAATCATGTGCATTTGCTAAAGTAAATGAATGTTTTTCATTGGATAATTTAACAGTTTTTCCTATTTATTATATTTTATGATAAATTGGAGTTCATACTTGTGTATCGTTACTTTTGTTTACTAGTTTATATATTATTAATTGTTCTTTCAAACTAACGAACTAACATAATATGTATTGTCTCAAAAGTTTTTAAAAAGTCTCTAAATTCATCTGTACAGTAAATTATTTTCAAACACGTCGAACTTCAGGCGAGGAACATAGAATGAGAAAATGCTAAAAGTTTATTTCTTATTAAGGCACCAACCATTTTTTTAAAAGAGGAATAAACTTAGATTGTATTTCAATATAAAATTTCAACTCAAACTGACTAAAAAAAATATATATCACAAATGTTCCCCATTATTTCCGTAATTTAATATATGTATGTAGTACATCAAATATTTTAACACAAGCTGCTGCTGAAAAAAAATTAAGAATTTCGCGATAAAGTTGGGAATTTCTTCCTCTACATAAAATTCCAACCCCGCACCTTTCGAAAACTAAATGGTTGGTGTCTTGGTGTTACCTGTGCCGACACTTGCCAAATGAAATGCAAACCAAGCAAAAATCCCTGTTTTTAACGAAATTGAGGAGTGATTTCCCATAATGCACCCGATTCTTTGTTAAGTCTAGTACTTTCTTTTGAGCTTTACTTGGAGGTAATGGCGGTTTATCTCTGAAAACTTAAGAGAAAAGGAGAAAAAAATGAGTTACTTCTAATGCATTGGATATTTTCCATTTTGCTGTCGGATTTAGTAAATGGACACAGTCTTACTTGTATATTTTCAAAGATTCACTATTAAGAGTGTTTGTTTACACTTTTTCGACATTGTATGGCGTTTGTGTGTATATTCTGATCTGTTTTCAGTTATCTATGTCTCGTATTATATTGGATTAAAGATGTATAACACGGGCTAAAATTGAAGCTTTCGGTAGTTGTACAACATCTTTTTTTTAAGTGTGCGAACGTTTTACAAACAAAATTAAGGTCAGCAATCATTTGTTAATTCGTTCTTCCTAAGATCTATGATCTTCTAATAGACATTTGCGGAAACTAGGTCTATACCTGGGATTACACTTAGACTTACGATTACAGTTGACGTAAAAACAAAAGGTCCTCTCAAAATAAGAGAATAAACCCAATTGAGATATATAGTAAAATGAAATGATTTTTTTTTTATCATGTAAATAAGTCTTTTCGACGACACACAAATGCAGAAACTTATGGTCACAACAGAGTGAATCGCCACAAAGTCCCCATAACTTTGTTGGTTTTTTTTTTAATTCTCCGAATGCGTTTTCAACCTCTACTCTAGAGTGTGTAATATGTCTGTTTAATTTTAAACACTTCCTATGAATATCCTGGGGTTTGTCTCATGTAAGGTGTTTTTTGTCGCCTAGCAAAATCAGCTCAGTCGGGAAAGGTAGCTCTTGTCATATATTTCTTATCAACATATCCGCCAAAGAAATCCGCACTCAACATTTCCTGTCTTCGTTCAATATTACAAGTTGAGTGTGAATGCGGTGACAATGTATGTGTCTTGGGAAATACTATTCTTGTAGTTCCGTTATCGGCCACAAACTTCCCGTCGATAGCCCTACTGCAAACGGAAGTTTTGGCCACCCACCTTGTAAATCCTGCCAATCATCCAAAGAAGGCCAATAAATAAGACGGTTATATGTTTCTTGAAATAGGTATACATAAAATTGAGAATGGAAATGAGGAATGTGTCAAAGAGACAACAACCCGACCATAGAGCAGACAACAGCCGAAGGCCACCAAAGGGTCTTCAATGCAGCGAGAAACTCCCGCACCCGGAGGCGTCCTTCAGCTGGCCCCTAAACAAATATGTATACTAGTTCAGTGATAATGGACGTCATCCTAAACTCCAAATTATACTTAAGAAACTAAAATTAAAAATGATACAAGACTAACAAAGGCCAGAGGCTCCTGACTTGGGACAGGCGCAAAAATGCGGCGGGGTTAAACATGTTTTTTGAGATCTCAACCCTCCCCCTATACCTCTAGCCAATGTAGAAAAAACAAACGCACAACAGTACGCACAGTAAAACTCAGTTTATAACTCGTTATAAATGATGTGTCATGTGTTTCATTAAGATTCGGATCCAATTAATATTCGTGTGCATTCAAATATATTTACCACAAAGAACATTTCAGTCAAGAATGATGTAAGATAGTTTTATTTGATAACATATAACTACTTTATTTCTAAAAAAAATTAAAAAAAATCATCGTTTAAAAAAATGTTTGACTTGTATTAAATCTAAAATAGGGTTCACAGACATCCGTGTACTTTAAAAGACAACCTGAGTGCTTTAATAATATTTAAACGAGGGTTCTTGAGGGTCTATACTTTGGAATTCTTAATTTAATCTAAAATGTAATGCTAGTATATGTTTAATGCAACTTAAGTTATTTTTTTTTAAACGAAGAAATGATGAAAGGGGCATTTAGAACCCATAAGTCGAAGAAAAAAGACAACACCATGGTCAAAAGAAAAACGACGAAAATACAAAAAAAGTCCACAAAAACTTCACAAAGAAACATGGAGTTCATTTCTCCATGACGATAACAAAAATTCAACTGATTTTGACGAATCATGGTATGTTTTCCAATTATAACGGTAAAGTTTAAATAATTGAAACCTCTGATAAATGAGGATAATTTGACAAACCACAATATAAATTGAATCAAGTTATCGATAACGATAGTCGAGAATTAACATTTGGTGACTGACGGTAAAAGGCATTTCAGCCATCTTGAAAGATTTCTAGGATCACTTTAAGACAACACGGGCCAGTAAATGTATAGACGAATATACATCTGCTTTATATTTTCATTGCATTGAAAGATATTTGTTGTTTTATTTTTCTAATTGATCTCGTAAGGCCGTCATAAAACAAGGTATAGTAACAGAACTTATTGAAATGCATCAAACTGACAAGTTGTCACAGCAAGCTAAGATGGTCAGTTGGGGGAAACTGAGAAGAAAAACAAACTAGACAAAAACAAACAAAAATCATATTAAACGTAAATACCACGAAGAGCCGCTGGTCGGACAAGTGTTTCAAATTGGTCTGAGTTGTCTTTTCAAACTGGTCCGAGCTGTCTATAAAAGTGGTCCGAGTTGTCTTTAAATTGGCCCGAGTTGTCTTAGTCCGATTTGCCTTTTGGTCCGAGTTGTCCCGATTCCACACCAAGCTGCCAAGATGCCATTTTTTTATCGATATTTCTTTGAAATCCCGTTGTTCAACTATAGAAAAACATCATAGGAGTTAGTCTTTGTTTTGAATTGACGGTTTATATTTACACTTTGAAACGACCCAAGATTTAAATGCTACCTGTAAGTGTAATCCTAACAGTTTCCGCAAACGTCTATTAAAGTGTTTGTAATTTACAAGTATACATATTAAATATTTGGAAAGTATGTTTTTAGATTAGTAAAATATGTTCGTATACTATTATTACTTATATATCACATGTTAAAATCCTGACAATAAGAGACTTCCAAATTTATACAAGGTATTGAAATAAGAAATGTTGAGTCGCTGTAGCATAGATTTATACCTCTCATCCCATTTTATTCATATCAGTTAAAAAAATGAGTCGATATCTTACCAATAACAAGTAAAATGAAACACAATGTGGTAGCAGCTGCACTTATGTAAAACATTATTAACAAGTTATGACCTATATTAGTAATATCTTCAGTGTACGGCACAACAATTGGTGGCAGCAAAAACCCTACAGCATTACCAATCTAAAAAAATATATTAAGGTATATTTATCAAATTTTAACGTTCTGTTTAAAGTTTAAGATATGCAACTAAAAAACCACTTGGAGTGTCATATGTAGACCTTCATTTATTATAGATGAATATCAAAAAGTATGGTGTATATTGAGGCGACACTATAAACAAAAATACCGTCTTGATCTCACAATAAAAATGATAAAGATATGCAAAGGGGACAGAGATCAAAAACAATATCAAAGAAGAACAGACAACAGCATGACGAAATGAAAGAAAGAAAAACCGGAAAGACTCACTACAGTCCACAAAACACTTTTATACTGAGTTCCTTACTTTAGCTAATCTTTGAGGAGATTTCAGAAATGTCAATATTAAAAAAGTAAAAAGGTACCAAGGAGGACGTACAAAACCATTAAATCGAAAGCAGACGGCCAACCGGAAGTTCAAAAGAAAACAGGCAAAATAAAGACGAATCGAAAACAGCAAATCACAAATCAATACACAGAAACTTTTAAGATTGGTGAATAAGAGCCCAACAAAAAAGCAGGGTGAACTCATGTGCTTCGGAAGAAAAACAGTTCCTGCTATACCAATTACACCCTTGATTGCTCATGGAACGTAAACATTCACTCAGTGTTTTAGTCAGTACAATAAAAGTATCATTCTAATTATATATTTTCATTGTGGTATATTAAGAGAACTTTATCTAATCCAACCAACATCTCTTTCCCTCAAAATCATTCTATGATAGATAAATAACGGATATGGGGTGCCATCCATGACACAAAATTAGTACATGCACAGCAAAAACACACAAAAAGCAAAGGAACAGCATTTTTATTGCTGTTCTTCATCTGAGTCACATGTTCACTTACCAGTTAGTAACATAATAAAACATAATGTAGAAACACCAGCACTTATGTAAAACATTACTGATAAGTTCTGGCCTATATCGTCAATAATTTCACTGTGTGGTACCAGAATAGGTGGTACTAGAAACCCCATAGCATGACCAATCTACAATAAAATTTCAAAAAACTAATTCTACCTCCCCCAATGTTTTTGCACCTAAATAAAGATTATTTTTGAGGTTTTCACTTTTATACAACGTTTTTATTTCTCTATCAGATGATAATCAGTTTGAAAACGGGATAATCGGGACAATATCTTATTGCTGTCGTGATTAAATATTTTTTCTTACAAATTTCAAGCCACGAATCACAGAATCTTGATCCGACTTTTGACAAATTAATTCGGGAACGGTCCTATCAGGGACTGCAGTAAAACTCCTGGTGCGTGACTAAGGCTTAAAACAATGGCCATCTTATCGTTTGCAGTAAACAACCGTATCGTATTATCTAATCGTCATGCATTTGACACTGGAGGACGTTAAGGGAGCTACCATTTGATTTTTATGGGGGGCTAGGATGAAATTTGAAAAAAATAGGCAGGATAGGCGTTTTGAGTAAAAAAAAAGGCAGGATGAGATTATTTGCAAAAAAAAAAGGCAGGATGACAATTTATGTAAAAAAGTCAGGATGAACTAAAGAAAAAGGCAGGACCGAATAGAGCGAAAAATAAAAAGACAGGACCGACAAGAGGGAAAATAAATAGGCAGGACAAAATTGTTCATCCTAGCCCCCCATAAAAATCAAATGGTAGCTCCCTAAGGAAACAGCAAACAAGCAATCGTATTGGCCATTTTTTAATTAATGCTCTGTTCATTGCAACCTTTTGTTCATATGATCAATGTCTATTAGATTGATGTTGTAAGAGATTTTTTACAAAAATGAAGGAGATAGAACTTGTTCTTTCCAATGGATAAGCATTTGTTTTAAAGAGATCCGCCTACACGACAGACACACATACACAAACACACCATTCTCAGTCAGTGTTGGAAAACGAACTAATCGCAGTATAGAATTAAGTGTTATGGTTTTATCTTTTCTACTAGTGAAAAAACGTTTGAACTCAAATTGGGTAGAAATGACACGTGTATCTAGAAAATCTTCATCAGGTTTACGCGGGAAAAGCAAAAGTGTGATTTTTTCCTGATATAAAAAAAACGTTTGAAAATATGAATAATAGGGCGAAGACAGTACATTCAAAACCGTGAACGGCCAACTTTGGCTGAAGAAGTTGCATCCTTTGGTTTAAAAACAATTATATCATTTATGAACTTTAAATGCATTGGTTACGGAGAGCGTCAATATAAAAACAAGTTGTGGTATGATAGTCAATGAGACAATTATTTCCAGCCGAACATCCCGGTCGACCCTACCTATTGATTTTTGTAAATTTTGTATCGTCCAGACTATGTATGAAATGTTTGCCATTTGACGTTAAGCAAACAATATTTAATCAACCTAAAAATAAAACAATTTAACATGCACTTCAATGCATGGTAGCAAGAAATAACGTCAAGTTTCATTCTAGAACTGTTGCAATGTAAAATAGATTGTACGGTATTTGGCGATGAAATTTTTGATTGGATGGAAAGGCAGACTGACAGGTCGTAAATATTATAATTTGGAAAAGTCGGTCTTGCAAAAAAAAATCATTGTGCGCTACTACTGCGTTTAACAATAGTAACCAATCAATTTTTCTTCAACTTCAATGTAGAAAATAAGACTTAAAAGTTATGAAAATGAGTATCATTGCAAAATCCTCTGCAAAATATGATTACCTGGATACCAAAAATCCCAATAGCCGTTGCTGTAGAAACTTCGTTAGGACCAAACCACACTGCTGCTATTCTTGCTGGTAAACTGAGAGTGAATACCTGAGCAATGGCACACATAGTTTGTCCGAACATAAGAACCCCAAATCGGTCAGAGTTCACAGATGCTACCTTTATCCAAGCTCCGATGGCATTTAGAAATGCCCCACACAAAGCTGATACTCGTAATCCTTTTTTCTGTAGAAACCACATGGAGGGAATAATAAGTATAACATATGTCAACATATAAATCAAAGACAGCCAATCAAGTGACATGTCTCTTTTTAATTCATCTTCCGGTAAACTCGCGTTATAAAACGTTAATATGACGTCACCTATAATGTTGAGAGAAAGCCACTGAAAGGCATTGCTGGACAGATAAAATGAGAAGACAAATATTATGACCCATCGACGTTTATACAGTCGTGATTCTGGTTGATCATTTGTGTTGTCCACTTCTCCATTTAATATCATTGGCTTTTCTTGCATACTCATCGTAACCTAAAAAGAAAATTAATAAACTACATTTTTTTTTCTGTTTATCAATTTCTTTCAACTCTTGTCATATATCATTCTCCACACTCTTCAGCTATACTTGAACATGCATGAAAAATTTGCCACTGGACGTTAAGCAACCAACAATCAATCATCGTTTTAAAAATGACTTTAGTTGTACATGCAACTGTATAGAAATACTCCAACAACTGTATTTCGTTCTGTGTGTGTAACTGTATCAGTCTGGCTGCTATATCCTTTATGGATACTCTTTTAGAAATATATCAGCCATTGTGTTTGGATTTACTATCGGTTTTCATTTAACAACTGCACAAGACCATTTGCTGTACGAAATCTATTCCCTAAGTACAACCGCTGATATTCAGATGTTATATGAGCATGTTAAGTACTTTGAGTATTCTGTGATAAATGTATTGTTTATTAGTATTGTGAATTTACGTGTGGTTATATTATCTTTTACACCAGTATTAAGTTAAGTGCATTTTCTGTTCTAGAGATTATGAGATATACGAAGAGTATACTGGTACCGGCCCTTTAATATTTGTATATTCCGAATGTATACTGTATATTTTACGGAGGGAACCAACCTAAATGAAGATCAATGAAGAGTGAAACTATGCCGAGATCTATAAAAACCTGTTAAAAACCTTAACATGTGTATGTACCTATTCCAAGTCAGGAACATCATCAATGGTCATTTTCGGTCATATCTTAATGTTTTTGTCATTTTGAGAACTTAATGTCCATTGTAGAACTTTAAAGATCTCTGTTAAATTTATTCATAAATTTTCTAGCTTCTGGGATCTACTTGTCTATTGCCAAAGACCGTATGTTGATCTCTAAGTTCATTTGGGTTTTTTTTGTGTCGTTGCTTCATTGACGTATGCACCATTTATCTTTTTTATTCACAAACATGCTGCATGTATTTATTGTATAAGAGAGGTGAGAGATACCAAAGGGATATTCAAACTCATAAGTCGAAAACAAACTGACAATGCCATGGCAAAAAAACAAAAAACGACGAAAAGACAATCAACAGCACACAAAACACATAATAGAAAACTCAAGACTTAGTGTATGTGATTTGAAACCATTTTTATACTCAAAACTATATTCACCTTTTTTCATTTGCATTTTAGAATCTTTATCATAGAGAGCATTTGTGTTGCGTTGTATTGGAAAATAAGCAATTTGAAACACCTCATAATTGTTGTTTGCCAATTGAAGCATATGTCGGATCTGTAAAGCCTCGCTTGAATAATAAATGAATATAGAGAGACAACGGGACAAAAAATGTTCATGATTCGATTCTAGTTATATTGATTGATTCCCTAATCGACTCTCTAGGCCATGTGAGCTAAAGCAATTTAAAAAAATCAATACATTTCAGTTTTGCATTACATCTTAAACAAATTATCCAAGTCATTATGTACAATACCGGTGCATACGTATCTAGATGTCCTTTTTCTGGGTCAAGGCATATCAGCACTTACGATACGGGTGGGATATTTTGTGACATACATATGTGTGTTCCAGTGAAGGTGTTTTAAGGTCATCAATAGGGTTATCTGAATAGGAAAACGTGTCTGTATGTCTCATATCACACAGCTAAAAAAAACGGTCGTAAAGTATCAAAGAATTCGATTATCAAACTCTTTCAAAGAAACTCAAATGAACACTACTATCAACTATTTCAAGGCTGTTATTATTTTTTTTTTTATTTCTTTACCGCTGATTTGTATTCTTCAGTTAATACACATATTGAAATGACGATGAACTGAAAATGGAAGAACTTGTCATAAAGTCTTTATTCAGTTTTATCCTTATACAATTGTATTCGTACAATAACGTTTTGAACAAATTATCGACAGCGCCTCCCAATTTTGCACCATAATCCATAGAATAGTAAAAAAAAAAATAGATTTTTTTCTTTTATTGTACACAATTATTTACTTCAAATAGCTGAATTTAGTGTTGCAGAATATTCATTTCCAACCTATATCTTGGGTAAGATTATTCATTTTCAAAACCATCCTCATCCTCTACCTCCCCCCTTCCAGAATACCAAATGGTCATCCCCTTAACGCCAAAAATGTGCACCTTTTTCTACTTACCTCGTTTATTTAATCCTTTGAACTTGACTTACACTAGCCTAGTAATATTAAAAGTTTTCCGTAAGGCATGATTTTACTTTCGACGTAGAAGACGTTAGCTTAAACTACATAGTTGTATGTTTTTTTTAAATCTACAAATTCAGGATTTCTTGTCTATCTAAAATTTCTTAATCCACACCCGAAAAAAAAAATATATTGCAATTCATAATTTTCACTCACCATTGTACTCTTGTTTAAAAAATACCCAAATTAATATTAATCATAACAGATGACCTGAAATGACCTCGAAAATGACCTGAATGTTTTTATTGGCTACATTCAAAACCTTATACAGAGAGTTCAACAATTTTAAAGGATAACATCACCTAGATAAGTGAAAGTTTCATGAGGTTCTTAGATGATTATATGCGTATATGATTTTTTTCTTATTCCACATGTTCCTTTCGAGACGCGATGCCAATTCAATCAAAGTGCATAGCACATATTAATTGCTTTGAAAACTTTGATATGTTTTTAATTTAAAATGTACAGCCTATTTGATAAAAAACGTTCAACATTTATTTCACATGTCGATACTAGTTGTCATTAAAAAAAACGTGTTTTAAACTGTGAACTTTTTTTATCATTTACCGTGGCCCTGTATATGTTAAGGCACGTGAAATTTTAAACTCTTATGCATTTGAAGAAGTTCATTTCCGTTTCACGCAGTCATATTTTTCGAGCTATCGTACTTGTAGCTTAGACATTATCAATTTCGGGTCATTGATCATTATGAACCTTAAAAATTACAACAGACTAACATGATATAAAAGCAAGAGCAATTTCTATACTTTCAGTGATACATCAGGTCTGTAAATTTGAATTTGACTAAAACTAAGGTTGCTAATCCCACAGGAAAAAGTTAAAAAAAGAGCATCATCGGAAAAGATTCCGCATGTATATCAATTTGTTTTGGCTCCAGAGTAGCGCTAGTACCATTTCTAAAAAAATTTTAATAAGTTTGCGACGTTTGACCCCAATACTGGTAATGAGAAAAGATCACTTTCCATCCGTATTTTCTTTGTCTGCTCGGACAGAAAAACGACAGTTCTGATATAAAAATATTGTCGTTTGTTGCTGTGTTACATATTTGTTTTTCGTTCATTATTTTGTACATAAATTAGACCGTTAATTAGTTTTCTCGTTTGAATTGTTTTACATTTGTCATTTCGGAGCCTTTTATAACTGACTATGCGGTGTGGGCTTTTCTCATTGTTGAAGGCCGTACGGTGACCTATAGTTGTTAATTTCTGTGTCATTTGGTCTCTTGTGGAGAGTTGTCTCATTGGCAATCATACCACATCTTCTTTTTTATATATATAAACAATTTCGGTATAACCCTAAATTATACGGAACTGTGACTACCACTAAATTCAGCAAATGTTAAAAAAATTCGTATCATCATTTTGGAAATTTTCATTGTTATAACTGTTTATGTAACACTGTATTTGTTGTTATATGTATATGCCATTAATTGTTATTCTTTATACATGTATGTCCCATATAAAATTTGAAATTCAATACTTTGTAGTAAGTCTATACAGTTTAATTGTGATTTACTGTGTACATAATATCGATCAGATGCAAAGATATACTTTTGCCCAGTTTCTTGGTCAAAGTATATCAACACTGTATATTAAGGTGAAGAATACTGTTATATGGTATGCAATTAATTAAGTCTCTTCTCTGTTACAGTAGACGTAATATCATCGAAAGGTCATTTACAGTTTATGCTGAATAAGCAAATGTTTCGACATGTATGTCACATATAAATTAAAGATAGAATTGTATTAATAAAATGAAAACAACACTTGATATAATTATGGTATGTGTACGAAGTGCTTTTCTAGATTTACCTTCATTAGGAACACTCATTCCTAAATCTTTGAAAGCCAAGGTTTTATAAATACGTAGAAACATTAGGAGATATATGTGACCAAAAGGGACCTACGAATAGCCAAATTCAGCTATGGGTAACTTTGCCTGAGGGAGTTGGAACCTTAATTTCTTTGTAATTTCTAAATTAGTAAATGGTTAAGCGACAATAAAAAAAAATTGCAACAAAAAAAACAACAAAAACGTTAGAGTTCAACATATGTTCATCAATTATAGACATGTTTTTATACAAAATGCCTATATTAAAATCTGTCACGGTCGGGTCCAGGACCAATCCAGTATATCTTATGATAATCCTTTGTAAGTTTTAAATCGTCAATTTGGACAAATTTCTTATCGAATCATCAGAGGCTGAAATTTGCATACAAGCTAATTTATAAATTAGTCAATTCAAATATGTAAAAAAAAATACCTTCATGTACTAAATTTAGAGATAAATGGGATCGAAATTTTAGACATTTTCTTAAAATTTCGGTTTCTTGGACATTTCTTTCCTTTGGACAGACATACTTAACTTTTTTGTTTCAAAAGATAAACACATGTGGATTTTTGTAAAAGGATAAGAATGTCTTCTTGACAAAAGTATGCAATCTTAATTTGTGTAACAATTCTTTGAAAATAATTAATTTTTATTAAATTTTCATGATTTTAGAACAAAACGGCATTTTTGCTGCATATTTATCTAATTTAAAAAAAAATCATCGGTTATTTTTTCATAAAAATTGAACAAATAATCTTCATACAGTATAAAGTCAACCGTCATTTTTAAAAAGAGGGGTCTATGTAACGTTTTCAAGCTAATGGTTAAAATCACTCGAAAAATGCATCTTTTTCCGATATGTCGCAGTTCCACTTTGACGTCGCGAAAAATAACATTTTACGTTAGCAACGGCATTACCTCCCTTGTGACTGTATCTTATGACCTTTAAAA